GTGCGCATATCGAGAGCGACGAGCCGTTCTCCATTAGGGTGAATTCACGTGCGCGAGTGTCTGCCGTTTTAGCACAGTCCTCGGATTTGTCGTAAGTTATAATGCAATGTAACTAGCGACACGATGTCCGTAGTACGTCAAATTAAGTCGCAAATGGTGGGCTCTCCCCCCGAATTTACTCACTCCCAGAACAAACGGAGAGAATTTAATCCAACGCATTCGCGTGCGAGCGCAAGCGAATCCCGAATTGTTGTGCGCGAAATGCACTTTATAAGCGAGACCCGCCGCTAATTTCCCCAAGTTCCAAATGATATATACAGTACCTGTCCATATTATTAGACGCACCTTAATTTTTACATTTCACTGACCCCCGAGGATCAGTTTTATAATACGGCTCATCTATCGATGGAATTATGTTAAGGAACCATTAGTCTATAAAAGGTATTTTTTTATCACATCACTTCACTCGGCTGTTACAATGACCTCGAGCAAATATGAACCAGCGCTGGTTGCATCGTTGATAATAATGAGAATAGACGTGAGTTTTGAGTGTACGTCAATTGAAATTTAGTTTTATTTTTGTTTATTTGTAACTTCAAATCCCTCGCTTACTAACAGAAAAATAAATTTTCGTGTGAAAAATATCAATATTGTTTACAAAAATTATGGGTAAAAGAGGTGACTTGACACTCCAGGAGGTTGCAAAGGTGAAAGTGCTGATTGACATCGAAAATTATTCAAATCGAGTAAACATAAAATTAGTAGCTTTTCTTCTCCTCCTAACGTGTATTCTTTTATCTGTATTCCTCATTAAAGAATAAAAATGCGTCAAATAATATTGCCAGGGACCGTATATCTGTACGTATGTATATACAGCTTGCTGGAGAACAGATTTTGACGTAACGGGCCAACGAATAATCCTGGAAAGGGATGAGAAATGCAGTTTATTGACATCCTTCGGCGAGGTCGCACCGATAAGCGCTCGTTTTAGCACATCGGGCGAGGGCGTATTTTGATCGCCCCGTCGTTCATCGAGACACCTCGCGGCTCCCACAGAAACGTAATTAATTTCCTTATTTGGTATTCTAACTCAACGGAGACGCGACGGACGGGGAATATTTCAATCGCGCACAAAGTCGAACGCACGCGTTAGATATCTGGCAGCCTGAAGCATCTCGGAAACGGGCGATCGATCTCGTGTCAGAGTTACCAGAATCGCTCGTTTCCTTGTACATCCTGCTCCCGAAAGACACATCTCGCGAATACCTCGTTCTTATGCGCGCTACGAGATACATTCTTTTTGATTCAGGCGGTCGACACGGAGGAAATCGTCGCGGGCGGTCGGGACAAGTTCAGCCGACCGCGTTGTGACGTGACGGGGCGTACACACCGAGAGAAAAAGGTTTCTTTTTATATTTAGTATTTCTATTCATTCGACTAAAATTTCTTTCATAGAAACAACGTATACGAAATATTATTTGTTTGGGCAAAAATTGTATCGTCTCATTCAAGAAAATTCTGTTATTCAACAGAAAGGACGCTATTATCTGAAATAATCTTTTAACCAAATGAAATATTATTTTGGTCGCGATAAATATGTAAAATGAAGGAAATAATTTCTTTATAAGAAAATTGTCTTTCGTTTCAAACAAATTTTTTATTTAAGATAAAAATACGGAGTAATTCCGGAAGGTTCGGATACCTGAGTAGTCAAAATTGACAATATTATTCGAAAGTGTAGCCTATCCAATCCGGGGCATGTCCGCATTCTCGGACAAGACTCGAGACTATTGCGAAATATATTTCCCTTCTCCATCCATTTCTCGCCCTCCCAATAATCTCTCTCTCTCTCTCTCTCTCTCTCTCTCTCACACACACACACACGGTATTTCGGAGAATTCACAGCCGCGAACGGCGACGTCCGAAATTAGAAGTTCCGACTTTCGGCGTATTAGGTAGGCGAGGCCGAAGAATTTCCGCGAAAATAAATTCAAAGTCGCTCAGCGGGGATCGTCGCTCGAGTTGGTTTTTATCACGGCGATTGATGAGGGTGACCGACGGCGGCGCGTGATCGCGCGGACCGGATTCCGATCGATCGATCGCTGGTACAGCGAACACGCGCCGATCTCGTTTGCTGGACGTATATCGGCGGCCTGAGAGAAGAGCATATTAGACGGCACTTTCCGGGAGTGCTTACTAACGACCGCACATATTTGTCGGATTCGCAGTTTGATGAATGGAAACTGCGCTCTATCTAAACGGAGTTAAACGCGCACGTTGAACGCGTCTCTCCCCCGGAGAAACCGTGCCGCACGTTGCGTTTATTATCGCGATCGAAAGTAAAGTTCGCCCCCGAAGACGGTCCCGAGTGAATTACGTTTCGAACTAATCGTATGTGCGTGTGTACGTGTGTGTGTGTGTGTGTGTGCGGAGATATAACCCGATTATTTTCTTCTTTTCTTCTTATTTTTCGCGTTTCTTCCTAATACGGACGACGACGACGTCCGAAACTTATCGAGGAAACCGCCGAGTTGATTGCCGTGTTAACAATTAATCGTGTAATTTGATGCCCGTTTCATCGGCGCGTTTACGATAACGGATGCGGATAAATACGTGTAATAGACGAGGCCAATAATAGAATACAATGCAGTATTAATTCCATATAATGAATTGCGAATGCAATATCACGCACGGACAAATTTAATTGGATTATGCATTTAGTAAAAGTAAGCATGCGTAATGGGGGGAGTTAAGCAGCACCGCGTTTCGCCCGCAGCAAGAGCGTACTATTATTATGAGCGCGCGTAACTTTAAGCAACTTCCGCATACGTTCGTGCAGAATGAACGGCATTAGTCTTTTTCGAGGCAGGCTTATCCAAGAGAAATAATCCCGCGCTATTCGCCGCCGCTATATATTCGACGTGATAATACCGAATATGATAATATCTCTGTTCGATGTACAATGCTTTGTAATATTTACAATTATTCAATACGGTCCGTGTGACGAAAGAATTGTTTCTGTAAACGAATCGGCGATGCAAAAGATCGCGAGACAACTGGAAAGTTTAATAACAATAACCAAAGAATAGTTACTTGGGATCATTTAGACCTCGAAGAAAAGTCGCTATTATTAATAAGATATAAAATATTATCGATTGCTTTATGATTTATTATTTTTTAGAAGCATTATAAATATAGATTTATTTGTCGAAAAAAATGAGGAGAAACCAGAAAAATATTTAAGAAACAAAATAAACACGTCAAGTATTCGTGAACGTTAACGTAAAAAAAAATAAGGTGACCATTCCCGAGATAATAAAAATAAAATTGAATTTTTGTCCAATTTTTTCTCTCGTAAAATCGGAAACAGAGGAGAAATGCGCGCGCGCGCTACAAGATTCGAGTAAATTCGCACGCCTCGGCCACGGCTTGGCGGAAACAGACAGAATTGACAGGCTACGTTAAAGGGGATACATCTGGGAACAAATTCTATACGAATTTACACCGATCAATGTTGGTTGCCTGCCAACGCCATCAGGTTCTGATCATAAGTACGAGAAACGATACAAAGCGATAAAGATAAATTACTCGTCATCATATATCCCGGGATTTCCTTTCGGCAGAAATAGCTCGCAAGCCAAGTCGCGAGATCATCGCGATTTGCGCGAAGCTTTCTCAATTCATTCGATCGTATTAACGCACATCCACCGCCGAACGTATTTTAGATGATTTATTTTTTTTATACAGATATAAGCTATATTAGACATTCAATCAAAAAACAGGGAGAAGGTCAGTGAGAGCAAGAGTTCGTTTGGTGCCATTGGAAAACACAAATAAAATGTTGAAAGCAACGCTTATTGCTAAGAATGTCGGTGAAGGTTTATAAATAAATGATTCTTCTTGTTTACACATCGGTTGAGTTATTTGATATTAACACGTTGGTTGTGTGTGAGCACGACGGTCACCTACGGCGACCGATGGGGCGTAAACAAAAGGCTAAGCGCCGGTCACCACCGGCGACTGTCTCGTAACGGTGAATGTGTTGGAAGTAACCGACATAGAACGAGTACCGGAAACAAATCGTGTTTCATAACCCGCGGCGTACACGTATGGGTCACCGAGAAGAAGTATTCTTGGCCGCGGGTCCATTGCGGATCCTCGCGGAAAATTTGCAAACGGGAGATCGCTCGGCTCGCGAGAAACGCCTCGCTACCGTAACCGAAATCTCTCTCTTTCTCTCACATGGGCGATAGGTGACAAATCTCCTCGGATTCCTTCAATCTTTCGCGACGGGAAATACGCTTCGCCCCGCGAGGAAGGGTCTCGCGGAGGAGAGAGAGGATCCTCTCTCCACCCCGTCTCGAGCTTTCGAGCTCGAGGAAAGCTCAGGGCGATTACATCAAATTCTTTCCCCGGACCGTCCGCTCGCCCTATCGGCCACCCTATCCCGTCGCACCCTTTCGTCGTCGTCCAGCGCGCCCTCCTCCTGACCCTTCGCAGCCCCGTCCGAGTGTTTACTCGCGTGCTCGAGTTCTGTCAGTATCACACGCTGTCCGCCAAACAAATCGATCCCCCTCATCCAGTTGGCGTGTGCACGGCACGGTGTGCACGATACGACCGACTTCGGATCGCGAAGAGGGATACGCTCTTCGAAGATCGCGCATCGGAGGGCGATTGCGAAAACGCGGAGATTCGGGGTGCGTCCACCACCGCTGCGATACGCACGCACGATTTCACGCGGGACGGCAAGACACAGCTGGCTGGAAGGATTCATTTCACCGTATTTTCCGTCCGTCCGGAAGCGGTATAACAAATTGATGGATCTCCGAGGTAATTACGTGAGACGAACGCGGATTCATCGGAACAACGCGCGTCCCTTCGATACAAGGGCAAACAAAGGCGTACACGCTGTCGCGCTTGGCCAGCTGCGCGGACGAAAAGGGACTCCTCGCGGAGAGCGCTGCGCCTCTGACCGTCGCGCGCGCGCGCGCGCTACTTACATGTCCAAGGATCGGCCACGTTGAACGCCTGGGGCTTAGGTACCAAGAAGGATGATCGCGCGAGCGACGACGAGCCGGTCGTCCAGCGCGACGTGATGCGAGTACGCGAGCACGCGGGTGACGTCCCGACGATGCTGAACGGCACGCACGCACGCACGCACGCATCCACACGCAGTATCTCGCGAGTCACTGCGCACACAATTCACCGTTGACGCGACGCACGCCGTCAACGAGCACCGCGATCACAGTCGTTATCGGTTGCGTGAACATCGTGGGGTTACCGGTCACAAGACACAACTCGTCGGTCCTCTCCGTCCGAGGCTCGCACGATCGGCCCCGATATATCCCGGGGTTTCCACGGCGTGAACGGCCCTTTCTTCTCTCGAGCGAAAAGGGCTAACCCCCGGGGCTTCTCGCTGGTGTCGCGCTGCGTAGATATATGTATGTATCTCTCCGTTCTCCTCGTGCGGGCCTCCTCACAGACGTTGCCGAGCACTCTGCACGAGCTCTCTCGGCCGGGGATACACGAACGAACGCGGTGGTGGCGAAGGAGTAGGAGCGGTAGAGGAGTCAGCGGCGGAGAAGGTGATGGCGACGAGCGAGAAGTTGGGGAGGGGAGTGAGAGCAACCGTAAGGGGGGACGACGGTGGTGATGGCAATCGGGGGTGGCTCGCCAAGCCCGGTGGTGGTCTCGCGTTCGCTCGCTCGCTCGCCGGCCGGCTCGCTTTCTCGCTCACTTCTGTCGCCTTCGCCGCCGTTGCTTGCGCAGCACCCCATCGCCGTTACCACCACCGCCGCCGCCACCCTCCACGACCCGGCCAAACCCAGACCCAGCGCGGCGTAGGTACCGCGAGCTCGCGACTCGAGCTCCAGGCCACCCCAGCTGCTCGTTCCCCACCATCCCTTCCGGCCCTCAGTGCCGTGTACAGACGCAGCGGCGCCTCGCTCTACCGTCGGGGAGAACGGCGCGAATCGACGAATTGATCCGGTAATGAGCGCGCGGATCGTCGCTGCTGATGGGTGGGACACGCAGCGACGCGACGCGATCCGAGAGACGCGGAAATGCCGCGCTTAATTGCGGTCGCGACGTACGCTCTCTCTCCCTCGGTAGCCACGATCGTTCTCAGGCGTCTCGCGTGCCTCTCTTAATCTCGGATATCGTGATACACGGAGGCTCGCTCACGGGAGGGTGGTAGCGTGCGTGCCGCACGGAAATCGTCTACGTATTGACAAATTAAGGCTCGAAGAGCCGAGATAAGCGTATCATCCTTCCTGCGGTACTGTCGTGGTGGCACTCTTTCGCATCGCGGCCGCGTCTCGCTGAGAATATAACTTCCGCGCGGAGACGCGCGCGCTTGATTTCGCGTCGCTCTCTTTCTCTCGTATTAAATCGTATCGGGAGGTAACTGGATAAGAGCGGATAAGGTCGGATGGAAATCCCATCGGAATATATTTGGATCCATACGGATTTCACTCGATACCATAAGTTCCTATTTGGAATTTTTCGGCGTGACGGGTAAGCGAAACCCGGCGGGGGAGGAGGGGCGGCTGAGAAGCCTGCCGACGCCGATGAACTCCGCGGAGACTCCGGACCGACGGAGATATTTTTATGAAAAATTCAGTTCGCACGTTTGGCGAGGAATTTTTTAACGAGCGACGCGGTAAAAAGTTTGCTACGAATTGGAAATTCCGACTGCATTAGCGAACTTTCGCGTTCGGGATGCGCGCGCGGCCGGGCTCGGCTGTTATACGCTAAGAGAGAGAGAGAGAGAGCGAACAGTCAAGAACGAACGTTTCAGAGGAAAACAAAAAAGAAGGAAAGAGAGAGACAGAAAGGGTAGGGAGGGAAAAGGAAAGAACCGTCGGAGACATTACTTGACCCAGTTCCTCGCCCTTTAGTTAAGCCGCGCTTATTTCGCGCTTTTACGTAAATGGGTTTCTCTTTAAACGGCCCGGCAATCAAATACATATGTATAAACGGACGTGTCCCCCTGTCTTTCGATGGGGATTTTTACGACGGCGATGCGATCATGTTCGCGTTCGCAAAGTGGGCACTTGGTTATACGATTGAGAGGTAGAATTTTAATGCGAGAGCGCATCACGTTTCCACCCTTCGCTCCCTGCAAAACCGGTGTTACACGCGTAACATCTTACGCGCGCGCGCATTTCGCGTGTCCGCCTGACTTTTCCTCCGTCCACCATTAGCCTTGTTTCGATTTATTCAAGAGAGCCCGTGAGAGAGAGAGAGAGAGAGAGAAAGAGAGAGGTAGAGAGAAACGGCGGAGGCCAATAATAATTATCTACGCGAAACGGGGAGCGTACCGTGAAAGATCGTTTAACTATCCGAGCAGGAGTTATCGATTCGTACCGGGGAATTTGCCACTTGAATTAATCAAGTAACGAGTCACAAAGGTGGACTTACCTCCCCGGATATTGAATAATTAGTGGCGCGGCGTGGAAAACGTTTCCTTATATACCGTGGATCGCGTACGGGGAAACTCGCGGAATTAACAAAGAACGTATTACGTTAAAGAGGGAAACGCGGGGGGATAGCGGGGGAAAGAGAGAAAGGCCCGATATTACTTCATTTTGCAACTCGCCTCTCGACGTTGATCTTTCTGTCTCCCTCTCTCTCTCTCTCTCCCCTTCGGGTGCCGTCGAAAGAGTTTACGCTCTTTGAGCGCAGGCGAACGACGTAGGCACGACGAACCCGTGACGGGAGAGTGGGGCACGTTAATTGGTCGCCGTCGATGACGGACTATCGAGCTGCAACACGATTGTTGTTCTCCTGTGCGAGAAACACCGCACGTACGCGATCGTTTCAGCGTAACTGAGCGCGCTAAATATTCCGTTTGAATAAATAATCGCGCCTGGCGAATCGATTCGGGGCGGCGTGATGCGACGCCCGAAGTTGAAAGACGACACGTCCGACGTGAAAATCCGAAAAAAAAAATGGATCGCGCCGGCCATCGATGATTCGGATTTATCTCGAGCGCGAGAGACATCAGCACGCGACGTAGAACGTGCGGCAGTCGTAATTCATCGGAGCGAGCGCGCGCCGTTCGCGATTAAGAACGCTTACGATGTTTTAATAGCAATGGGACGTACGCCGATACGTAGCAAATCCTAGATCACGTGTACTTTTAGTGAAAAAATGTATTGCCCGCTCGAGGCGCGACAATCGTCTTTGCGCGGAATTGCGACGAAATTAATCGGCGTTAATTAACACGAATTCGATCTGTAAACGTGACGTTACGAATACCTCGTCCATACCGTTTTAACATTTTAACGGTCGTGCTTATTTCGAGGAAATTCTCGGCTGTCGCCGGCAAATTTTGAGAGCCCACTTAGATGAAGAATCTTAATTCGTACTGCATGGTTTTGTAGCAGAAAAGCTGCAAACCGAATATGGCATACTCGAATCAACTTTATCCTTCCATAACTCTTGTGAAACTTAACATTTTTTGCCTGTTTTTTTTTTTATTTGATGCAGCAAACCCTTAGCAATACAGCTGTGGCGTATGAACAAACTTTTAATATCAACAATAAAAAGAATATTAACAACAAAATAAATACTTGTTCCGAAAACAATTATCTTCTCTTCAAAAATATATATTTCTCAATATATAATTATTATAAAAATATTTTCAGTAAGTGTTTCCGAAAACAGACCGTAGTAGCACAATTCATTGGCGATACATTCGTCCAATATTGGTTATATGGTCATTCATTGGAAATACATTGAGTGAATGTTGCCCAATATAAAGCCAACCGGACAGCCAAACATGCAAAAACAGATTTTACGTAATATCCGCTGTAAATTTTGTCAACAACTTTCTAGCAGAATTATAACGGGATTTGCTAGCGGAATAACGTGATAACAGATTAATCCATTATCATGCCCTGCTAGCAAATCCTATTATATTTCTGTTAACAAGCTATCGATAAAATTTACAGCAAATACCGTGCAAAATCTGCTTCTGCGGGTTTGTAACTAGTCTAAATTTTCATTGAGTCCAAATCAGGTTTTCTATTATCATACGTGAACAAGAAGAAAGAAAACCAATAGAGCGAAATGAATAGGATGAAATGCGCGAACGTTTCCTTCTTGATTATCGCTTATCGATATCGTCCGAAGAGGAATAGCGACATTCTTATTGAGTCCATTGCCAACTAATACGCACGCACATACGCACGTAAACGATGTCATCGTTTCGCCGCGACAATAAACGCGAAATCGTCCTCCGATGCGCGCAGTAGTCGCGCGGGCGAGCGAGGGAGAGGAGAAGAGCATAATGACACAAAATTTCCCACGACCAACGACGTGGCCGTTCCGGGATACCATTTTTAAAGCTCACGCTCCGCGTCTAAAAACTCATATACTTATGTTTTAGCGGTATTACATACGTACGTACACGCACACGAGCGAGGAGGAGGAGACGAGTAGTTAAACGTGTACAGCCCTTCGTCGCGAAAACGCACGTGTGCGAACACACATACGATCGCGAATACACGCGAGGAAAGCATCTCACGAACCAAAATCCTTGGCGTATTAAATTCGAGCCCTCGTGGGCTTGACAGTCGCCAGTCATTTCGAGGGTGGCCCGAGGCTCTTGAGTGCCGCCTTACGGCACTAACGCCTCGGCGCCCTTCCTGTGTGATCCTGCACGAGAGAGGACACAGGTTCCTACACCCTGCTACGGCCTCTTTCCGCGTGCTCTATCCCCGGCGGGTCAAGCTCCGTGTGCGCGATCAGCATCGAGCCGCACCGCCGCTACATCTAGGGTATACCTGCACACACACACACACACACACACACACATGAAGTCCACTCGAACGGAATACCTTACGACGCAACGAGCGCTCTCATCTCTTTTCTCGAGGACCGCCGTTTCGCGACAAGGTGGACCAACGGGGACGCACCGACTATAGGCTTTCCCACTTTCATCACGTTAGTTTTCGACGGCGGATACTCTTCCTCCCTTCAGCCTCGGACGCCGAGCCTTGAGAGTCGATAATTTTCGAGTTACGGTCGATTAGAGAAGAAGGCTTTTCGTGAGGTAAACTTCGGGGATGAGGAGAGCGAAACTTTTCGGGTGCCTAACTTGTGTATATTAAGAGTAAATTCTTGGGCCGGAGTTTGCTTCGATGGAATTTTAATTTGAGGCTTAGTCACAGGGGGTGTATAATGTAAAAAAAGCGGAAAGTTGCGACAAACGAGCGAGCCTGCCTGACATTTTCGCTAAAACTCAGAGCGAGATGGGCTCTATTTA